TGGATGAGGAGAGACTGGTTGTTGCATTTTTGATGGCTGTTCACAAACTTTTAAGACTCCAGTTGCTTCCTACAAAAATAGGATATAGAACAATGTTTTTGTGTAGTATGTCATGCCAGTTGAGCTCGATGTCCCTTGTGACCATGGTCTCAAGCCCACAGACCCAGTTTGATTTTTTGTTTATAGTGGATGTTAAGTGATGTACACCTGTAGTTAATAACCAGGTCCTTCCTCATCCCATGCTACCATGTTACTATCCTTCCCCAGGAGATCAGTGTTTTATTCTGTAGAGAAACTGAATCAGGAGGCCGAACCTAGGGAAACCAAGGAAAGTAGAAGGTGGGGAGAGGTGCCATATGGAAATCTGGGGGATTGTCAAGCGTCTGTCATCCTGGGTGCCTAGGCCCACAGACGTATATGGAGTCAGGTGTTGCCTGAAGAGGTACAAAGTGATGCATATATGTACCATTTTCTTTATACAGACTTGCAACCTATGGCCCATATGGTAAGTATGGCTTACCAGACCATCCATACTTACCCCCATTCTCTAAGTAATTTGATGCTTTTAATTCCCGAAACATTCTAGAGTTCTGTGGAGACTCCTCATCAGGTCCTTAGTATATAGCCTTCCTTGGTTATACCATCTTCACTTCTAGAAATATGTTGACATTGTTATTGTTTCCCTTCCATTTTTTTATCTTGCTGGATTTGTGTTCTTTTATTCCTTTGAACTTACTTTAATTGAGGATAAATGTTTATGTTTGGTTCACCATTTTTTTATACAGAATAACCCCTGTACTTATTTTTTTCCCAAAAATTGGCTGAAATCTTTATTTCCTAGTTTCTTTGCTTTCAGTCTCTTTGTTCTTAATATTTAAAAGCTTTTGAATTCCTTTACTTTCATATTAAAAGGGTTTTCATAAAAAGAAGTGATAAATAAAATTAATTTGCTATATTTAGCCATGTAAACTTCTAATCTTCAAAAAGACTCTAAGAATGAAATAACAAACCACAATCTAGCAGAAAATATTTCTAAAGCATATGTCTCGTAAAAGACTTGTTTCCAGACTATATAACACTGTCAAAACTCAATAGTAAGAAAATACAAAAAACTATTTTTAATATGGTGAAAAATTTGAACAGAGAATTTACCTAAGATGATAGATGAGGGGCAAATAAGCACATGAAAAGATGCTCAAGGTTAGTAGTGATTGTAGAAATACAAGTGAGAACCACAATGAGAAACCAAAACACTACACGTTTTAAAATGGATAAATATATATATTTTTTAATTGACAACACCAAATAATGGTAGAGATGCTGAACAACTGGAGCTCTCATCCACTGCTGGTGGGAATGCAAAATTGTACCACCCTTTGGAAAACAGAATGGCAGTTTCTTATAAAGTTATACATGTACTAACCATACAACCCAACAAATCTACTGCAAGGTTGTTGTTGTATTTGCCATCGAGTCAGACCCGACTCATAGCGACCCCTCCTTGGGTTTCCAAGGCAGTATCACTACAGAAGTAGATTGCCCAACCTTCCGCAAGGTATTTAGTCAATATAAATGAAAGCATTTGTTCACTCTAAACCTGAATGTTTGTTGTAGTTTTATTTATAAGCACCTAAAACTGGAAACCTTCCAAATGTCCTTCAACTGGTAAATGCATTAACATACAATGGATTTATTACTCAGCAATAAAAACATGAACAGCTAGCATAACCAACAATATGGGTGAATTTTAAATGTGTTATGTAAGTGAAAACAAATCAGTCTAAAGGCTGTATGATGCTATGATTCTATTTATACAAAATTCTGGAAAATGTGAAGTGATAGGGGAAGAAAATAAAGTAGTGATCACTGAGAACTGGAGATGAGAAGAAGTGATTGCTACAAAGGGGCACAAGGGAACGTCACTTAAAAATAATCAGAGGGTAATTACCAAGTCAGAAGTTAATTGTGTGTGTGTGTGTGTGTGTGTGTGTGTTTTCATGAACAAGCATGCATGTTCTTGGCCATAACTTCCTGTTTCTTCATCATATGGTAGTATTTATTAAGAGCTATTGAAAAATGCTTGTGTTTAATTATATGCAGTTAAAAAGGGAATTTAAAAAGTTTATTTGTATTTATTTGCTCTGAAAACAAGAATTAAATTTTTAGCTACTTTGTCTGTCTGAATAAGATAATGGCTGTTTCACCCTCAACAGAAATATTGAAGTTTTATGTTTCAAACCTTCTTTGTTGTTGTTAGTTGCCCATCAAGTCAGTTCTGACTCATAGCGACCCTATGTACAACAGAATAAAACATATCTCAGTCCTGTGCGATCCAACTAATATGACCCTATAGACCAGAAAACAACTACTGTATGGGGTTCCCTAGGTTAAAATCTTCATGAGAGCAGATGGCCAGGTCTTTTCTCTGGTGGAGCCACTGGTGTATTTGAACGACCAGCCTTTTGGTTAGCAGCCAGGGACTTAACCATTGCACCACCGGGATGCACTGATTTCAGTGGATCCACTAGATTTCAAACCTCATCTTAACACCTGCCCATCGTACTTAGTGCTTCTAACTCCTGATCATTTCAGGGGATTTAAAGAATGAGTTCCCTTTTGTAAGCACTTTAAGTTGTAGCTTCCTCTCTTTGGTCAAACCAGTTACTACTTATCTATCTGCATGTGTCTTCTAAATATTTATTGAAATCTTTTATCTTGTACTATCATCTCTTTTGTCTTTCCTAGTTGAATTTGTCTTCTTTTTTTTATTTGTTCTCAATCCCGTTGTTTCAAAAGAAGAGATATACCTTGTGCTCAATCTACTATGCATAATAGCTCAATTAGGGAGAACTTTGCCACCTAGAGGATGTTGGAAAATGTTTAGTTGTTTTAGGTTATACCCACTAGCTTGTATACTGGTAGTTAGGGCCTATGGGTTAGGTCCGCTAAACCTACTACCATGTATGATTCCACCCAAAATGTCAGTAGTGCCGCATTTAGAAACACTGCTCTAATGCAATCCCACAGCCTCATTTCATCCCAGCCTTATATTAACTCAGTGTGAGCCTGTTCAGACATTAACATTTTTAATAATTGAGTGGTATGTCATCTTATTCATTGCTATCTCTCAGGCTGAGCTTTTTCAAACTTATTTGCGTTCAGAAATAACAGTAAAAACAGTGTCATGGCTCCTTATTAAAAGGAAGCCCCCAGCTTACAGTGAGGTTCTGTTTCAGCAACTCTGTCGTAAGTTGGTTTGGACCTAAGTGGAATACTTTTTTTTTTTTTTTTACTTTCCATTATTGTTGCCTTTTATTATCAGTATCTTTATAAATCCGATCTTTATTTGTCCAAAGACAAATAAAGGGTCAGAACATTACATATAAACATCTGAAAGTGAACATCTGAGAATGGTAACATCAGCAAATTACATGCTGCAACATTGTATGTAGTACATATTACTAATGATAAAATGTACAAGAAATCCAGATAGTTATAAATGCAGTTCATCATGACCTGAACATGTCTTAGTTGGGAACTACCTGTACATACTGGATAAATTGTTTTCTTTTTTTAAAAAAAAAATTATTATGATTTTATTATGTAAAAGTTTACAGAGAAAATTCATTTTCCATACAGCAGTTGATACACATTTTGTTTCATGACATTGACTGTAATTTCCCATGATGTAACAGATCTCTTCCCACTTCCTGTAGTCACCTTTTCCCTGTGTCCTTCTTTCCTATGCTTTCCTTCCCCCCAAGCTATCTCCCTGTGCAAACACTGCCCTTCTGTTCTCCTATGATTGATCAATCTAAGGAATGTATCTACCTGATGTAAATGTCCACCCTATATGCCTATCTACTGTTTGGCTGGAAACCACAGAAGTTCAGTTCCAGACCTGAAGGGAATGGGGGCCATAGTTTCAGGGGTCTCACTAGGCTCTGTCAGCCAGTAAACCTGGTCTTTTTGTGTGTGATTTTGAGTTTTCTTCTACATTGTTTTCCTACTCTATCCATGATCTCCTGGACTGATCCCTTTCCAAGTTGGCAGTGGTAGCGGGGCACCATCTAGTTCTTCTGGTCTCATGGTCATATAGGCTAAGGATCACATTGTCTAGTCTCTTGGACTAATTGTTTCCATGCTTCTTTGGTTTTCTTCATTCTTTGCTCTGGACAAGGAGAGATCTATTGTTGCATATAGGTGGCCGCTTGTAAGCTTTTAAGCCCCAGTCACTACTCACCAAAGAAGTTTGTAGAATGAAATTTATGGGTAGTATATTATGCCAGTTGAGCTTACTGTCCTCTACAGCTATGGCCCTGAGCCCACAGGTCCAACTGCTTGCTTCCTCAGAGTGGCTGGCTGTGACTAAGAAGTTATCATAATTTTGCCCCTGTTAGCTCTATTATATATTTGGACATTCTTATTTGTTGTTGTTATTTGCCGTCGAGTCGGCCCTGACTCATAGCGACCCCTCCTTGGGTTTCCGAGGCATTATCACTATGGAAGTAGGATTGCCCAACCTTCCTTCCGAGGAGTGGCTGGTGGGTTTGAACTGCCAGCCTTCTGGTTAGCAGTCAAATGCCTTAGGCACTATGCTACCAGAGCTCCTATAGCACATACAAATACGTATGTAGAAATATCATCTGCCAACCTTATATATGGTCCTTATATATGGTCATGAGTATATTCCCATTTGCCTAGACATACCTGATCATTCAGCTTGTCTACCCATCTATTTACCCATAGATTAATGTTTGTTATCACTGACAACACAGTAGGTTGTCAAAGGGTTTATCTTTGTTGTCTGTACCTATTCTGTACCTCTCTGTGTCTTCTTTTTCCTCAGTGCCACCGTGTTTATCACTCACTTTTGGTACATTGCCCTTCTCTTCATCCAAATCAATACTTGTCTTTACCTATCTAGCAGTGTTCCTGGATAAACTGTATTCTTATTCCATCATTCTGCTTTACTACATGGTTTTTCTTCATGTTTACAGATATTTTGGTAGAAGAGCTCAGTGGGATTATAGAGGGGCATCAAATCTTAATGAACTTCACCAGCTATTAAGTGACATAATGATTAGAAGATTGAAAACTGAAGTTTTAACCCAGCTGCCCCCTAAAATCAGACAGCGTATTCCATTTGATCTTCCAGCAGCAGCAGCCAAGGTGAGAACTCTTGTTTGATTGAAAGTCATATTTAAGTCATTTAAAATTATACCATTACAGATTGTACATGCTTCATATTTCACAGAAAGAAAAATCTACTTTCTTAAAATAGGCTTATTTGATAGAGCATGTGAATTGGCTATCATTTCAAGAAAGGAGCAAGAAGAATTTAATTTAAGTAATCAAATATGTGAAAAGATATAGTGTCCTAGTGATTAAAAAATATTTCTGCTGAATATGAGAAATACTGACATTGGAATAAAGAAGATTTAGATTTAATTTTATATATTTGAAGTCTATATAGATTATAAAAGCCAAAAGTAAACAAGGGAAATTTTGTTTCTTGCTCTAGAATTTTTTTAAGTGTAGATAGCTGTCTTCTAGAATAATTTGAATGTAGCCCTCTTCTAGAAATTTTTAAACACTCTGTCATGTTTTAAGATGTAAAATTCATCATATCAGAAAGCCAAGAGTATATTTTGCCTAATTCTTGCCTTGCGCTTGCCTTTAAGGAGTGCAATGCTTATGTGTTCTCTGAAATTTCTTCAGACTTGGGCATGGCTTGTCAACAAAGAGTATTGCATTGTTGTATCTTAAAAGCTTAGAGTAAGCATTTTGTAAACAGTTAGCAATAAGTTATTTCTGAAATAAGGATGATCTGATATTCTCTATCTACTGCTTTATCATTAGAAAGAAAATAAAATGAAGAGTCAATATATGATTATATTACATTTTTATTTAACTGATATTCCCCAGCTACTCTGGTGACTCAATGGTTAAGGCATTCGTCTACTAACCGAAATGTTGATGGTTGTGGTAATAATATAGTGAATGCATGGAAAAAGCTAATAAAAAAGAATTAGCTGCTCCATGGGAGAAAGAGAAGACAGTCTGCCTTGGAGACTGAACGGGGCAGTTCTAGTCTGTCCTGTAGGGTTGCCATGAGTCAGAATCTATTCGATAGCAGTGGGTAAATATTCCCCAAGTCTTTATTGCATATTTAAAGATCTTATCTTTTTATAAAAATACATTGCTATCATATACATTTTCACCACCTTGCTTTCTTATGTGTTTAAATTTTTATTTTCACTTTTCAATGTGTTTCTCTTTAAGATGAAGCTCTAATTATTTGAGTTATGTTAACAAGAGAGGGCTTTGTTCCACTCACAGCTTGTCATTGGTTTCTATATTAGCACAGACACATAACTGGCCTATCTAAACTTTGATGATTATAGATGAATATGTTGGCATCTTTGGGAATTTTTTCATATCCTTCTATACAAAAAAAGAAGAAAAAAAGTAGGACATAATTAGCTGTTGCATTAATTGCTCTGTTTTTTATGCTGTGTTTCTAAACCTTGTTATTTTTTCCCACCTAGGAACTGAATACCAGTTTTGAAGAGTGGGAGAGATTAATGAGAGCTCTAAAATCAGGTGCCACTGAGACCAGGAGCCACTTTTTACAAGTCATGGGGTTGATTACTCACCTGTTTAAACAAACTGCTATTGCTAAGGTACTTATTTCTGAGCTATCATGTATTTTTCTTGACACAAATTGTTTAATGCATTTCACTGTTTTTACTTAAGCAGATTTTATTTAATGCATCATATCATTACTATTTAATTTTTTCAAACTCTTTATTATGGAAAAAGTCAGACATATTCAAAGTATACAATAACATAACAAAAACACTATAACAATCCTATTGATCCATTCCAATATGTGGGTACACTTTAATGAGGGAAGATAATATGCTTTACATTTTCCTATTTAAAGGACATAGTCATGTCCTTTTTAATTAGCTTTTCCCATGGATTCACTATATTATTACTACAAATAATCTTTTTTATTTAAGTCAAGCATCTTCAGATAATAAATATTTCTAGTTTCCTATGTAAGGAGATATGCTAACATTGTTTATTTGCCTAACGTGCAAATTAGAGGGTGTTATAATTTTTAAATCTCAGTGTGACTATCAAGTAGATGCATCATATATTAAGTATTTTTGTTCTTGTTTTTACCAGCATGGTAGAACTTATAAATGCTAATGAGTTTCATCCTTTTCTAATTCTGGGATTTTTTTTTATAACATCATTTTAAGTTCAGTTTATTGAGGGATAATTTAGATATAGTGAAATGTACCCTTTTAAAATACATAGTTTAATGAGGTTTGACAAATGCATCTAGTCTGATAACCATCAGTACAATCAAGGTGTAGAAAATTTCTGTTGCCCCCAAAAGTTTCCTCATTCCCCTTTGTAGTCATTTTTCTCTACTTACTCTCAGCCCTTGGTAATCATAGGTCTGCTTTCTGTCACTATAGTTTTGCATTTTGCAGACTGTTGGACAAATGTAATCATATAATATGAATGAAGCCTTATTTTTGGCTTCTTTCCTTAGTATAAAGCTTTTGAGATTGATCCGGTTGTTGCCAAAGAGTATAGTCAGTGTGTGGATGTGTAACGGTTTTTCTCCTTTAGCAGTTAATGATCATTTGAGTATTTTCAGTTTAGACTATTATGAATAAAATTGCTATAATAAATTATTATTGTGGTATGGGCAAAGAATGCTCCTTGGAAGCGAGAATGGCCAGACTTCATCTCACCTGTTTTGGTCATGTTGTAAGAAGGGACCATTCCTTAGAGAAGGATATCATGCTTGGCAAAGTGGAAGGTTAATGAAAAAGGAGAAGTTCCTCAAAAAGATGGATTGACACAGTGGCTACAACGATGGGGTCAGGTATAGCAAGGATCGTGGAGCTGGCACAGGACTGGACAATGTTTTCTTCTGCTGTACATAGGCTCTCTATGAGTAGGAGATGACTCAACGGTACCTAACAACAATAAATTATATATGTGTCTTTGTATGGGCATATGTTTCCCTTCTCTTGGGTAAATATTTTGGAATGGGACTGCTGAGTCATGAAAAGTATTACTGTAATTTTATTAAAAAAAAAAAAAAAAAAAAACACCAAATTCTTTTTCAAAGTGGCTGTACATTTTATATTCCTACTAGCAGCGTATGAGAATTTCAGTTGTTCTACATTTTTATCAGCACTTGGTATTGTCAATCTTCTTTATTTATAATCATTTTACTATATACTTGTATATCATTGTATTGTGGTTTTAACTTGCATTTCCCTAATGACTAATAACAGTGAACATATTGTCATGTGTTTCTGAGCCATTTATTTTCTTTTGTGAAGTATCTGTTTATATTGAGCCCATTTTTTGTTGTGATGTAAGGTCTTTATATATTTGAAAAGAGTCCTCTAGTTTATGTATCTTTCGTAAATATTTTTTTTCAAGTTTGGGTATTTCATTCAATTTTTAGTTTTTTAACATTGTCCTTCAAAGATCAGAAAGTTTTAATTTTGAAATAGTTCCAATTCACTATTTTTTTCTTTTACATTTTGTGTTTTTTGAGTCTTAAAAATTTACACACTATTACAATGGGCTCATGAACAGACACTTCACAAAAGAAAATAAATGGCTAAGAAATACATGAAAATATGTTCAAAATTATTAGTCATTAGGGAAATGCAAGTTGAAACCACAATACAATGACATACAAGTATATATTAGAATGATTCTAAATTTAAAAAATGCACCTGGAATGTTCCTTGGAAGCGAGAATGGCCAGACTTCATCTCACATACTTTGGTCGTGTTATCAGTAGGGACCATTCCCTCGAGAAGGATATCATGCTTGGTAAAGTGGAGGGTCAGCAAAAAAGGCGAGGGCTCTTAACGAGATGTATTGACACAGTAGCTTCAATGATGGGCTCAGGTATAGCAAGGATTGTGAGGCTCATGCAGGCCTGGGCAGTGTTTCATTGTTGTACATAGGGTTACTATGAATTGGAGTCCACTCAACAGCACCTAACAAGAAGAAGAAAAAGAAGAAATATTTGCCTAATCCAGGGTCACAAAGATTTTCTCCAAAAAGTCTTATAGCTTTAGGTTATATAGGTAGGTCTATGAGCTATTTTTTTTATAATGCAGAACCAGACAACATTTCATTCTTTTATACATAAGGCTGCTGCATTTGATCTGACTATATAGCAAATAACAAAAAACATGAACTATTTTGGGGTTGTTATGATTTGGAATTGACTCAATGGCAACGGCTTTGGTTTTGGTTTGTTTTTTATGAGCTATTGTGAATTAATTTTTTTGAATGGTACAAATTAAGGGCAAAGGTTCAGTTGTTCTATGGTTTTGTTTTGACTGTTTTTGTATATAAATACTGAATTGTTCTAGCATTCTTTGTTGAAAAACCATTTTTTCCTCATCACCTTGGTACTTTCATCAAAAATCAATCAGTCATATGTGTAAGGATCTGTTTCTGACCTCCCTATTCTGTTTTCAAAAACAAAAAACAAAAAAAACACACTGCCATCATGTCAGATCCAACTCACAGCGACCCCTCCTTGGGTTTCTGAAGCAGTATAACTACAGAAGTAGATTGCCCCACCTTCCTTCCAAGGATTGGCTGGTGGGTTTGAACCACCAGCCTTCTGGTTAGCAGTCAAATGCCTTAGGTACTATGCCACCAGAGCTCCTTTTAATGATCTGTAAATCTAACCTTACACAATGCTACAGCAGTTTGATTATTTAAGTCTTGAAATCACATAACGTTCATCTCAGACTTTAGTCTTTTCAAATTAATTTGTCTATTGTAGGTCTTTGCTTTCCCATGTTAATTTTAGAATCATTTTGTCAAGTATGTGAAATTATTATCAGAATCAAGTTTACAGATCAATTTGAAAGAATTGACTTCTTAATAATACTGTCTTTTCATCTATGAAGAGCATCTCTCTCCATTCATTTAGGTCTTCTTTATTTTCTCTCTCTGATGTTTTCTCATTTTCTTGCATACATTTTGTCACATTTATTCCTCAGTATTCCTTGTGATTTTATGCTCTTATCAGTAGTACTTTTTAAGCATCAATTTCTAATATTTGATTCCTAGAATATAGAATTAGTTCTGTACCCTGTTGTACATAGGGTCACTCCAATTCATACTGACTCTGTCTACTGGTGGCTTGGTGCCTAAGGCATTTGACTGCTAACCAGAGGGTGGTGGTTCAAACCCACCAGCTGCTCTGCAGAAAGCTACCTTGGAAACCCCATTGAGTTTTGCTATGAGTCAGAATTGACTTGATGGCAGTGGGTTTGGATACTGATACCAAACCCAGACACAGACATCATGAGAAGACTACAGGTCAACATCCCTCATGAATGTGAAAAACTAACAAAATGTTAGCAAATTTAAACAACCAATATATACATATTTAAGTCTTTATACTGGGAATGCAAGGTTAGTTTAACATTGGATTAATTAGTCACTTTATCAGTGACAAATTAAAAATGGAAACCCACCATATTATTATACCAATAAAGGCAGCTGACAGAATTCACCATGTCCTCATGATTAAGGCTCTCAGCCAACTAGAAAGAAACTTTCTCATCCAATAAGAGGCATCTGTTTTAAACCTCAATCACTGATGTTGTACCGAATAGTGAAAAGCTGAGTACTGGCCCCCTAAAACTGAGAACAAGACAGGTATGTCTGCCATCACCCCTTCTATTCAGCATTATTCTGAAGGTCTTATTTGTGTAATAAGCCTGGAAAATTAAATAAAAGGCTTACAGATTGAAAAAGAAGTGAAATTGTATTCACAACAACATGATTGTCTACATAGAAAACCCAAGAAAATTACCAGAAAGGTACTAAAACCAATATATGAATTTACCAAAGTCACAGGATTCATGTTCAATATACAAAAAGCATTTGTACTTCTATATATTAGCAATGAGAAATTGGAAATTGATGTTTGAAAAATAGAATTCACAGTAGCATCAACAGACGTGAACTACTTTGGGATAATTCAACAAAATATATGTGCTGAAAATACAAAACATTGTTCAGAGAAATTAAAGCAAACTTAAATAAATGACAAGATAAACCACATATATATGTCATGATATTCAATATTTTAAGATGTGGGTACTCTACAAATTATATATTCAATGCATTCCTAATGATTTCTCTCTATAGGTTTTTTTTTAAGATTTTTTTTTTTTTAGAAATTGATAAGCTATATGTAAAATTTGTGTAGAAATGCCAAAAACTTACTATATATAGCAAAAACCATTTTTAATAAAGTTGGAAAACTTATACTATGTGATATAAATACTTTATAAAGTTATGATAATCAAGACTTTGTTGTGTAGGTATAAGCATAGATATATAGATTAATGACCTAAAAATGAATCCGGAAATGGACCCTCACATGGATTGCTAGTTGATCTTTGGAAAGGGGACAAGATAACTCAATGTTGTTGTCTTTTCAATAAATAGGACTAGGACAATTGTGCTATTATCGATAGGGAAAAAAGAAAAGGTAACTGGAACTGTGATTTCACACCAAACAGAAAAATTAACTTGAGGTGGATCATAGACTAAACTATAAAAGCTAAAATTTTAAAACTTCTAATAGAATATATAC